CGCTTTCTCTCAGTCCTTAGGTGAGACCAACTTCGTCTATTGATTTGTTTTAGCCGACGTCTTCTTGTTCCTTGTACATGCATCAAAGATTCTTTCTCTCTCGAATGATTCGATGTTTCTAGGTTTTAGTTTTTGTGAATGTTCTGTGTTTGATGTTTTGTCTCAGTGGGCGGTTTCAGAAAGGTTAGAGGGGTGAACTTAGGAGGGTGGCTGGTGGTGGAGAGGTGGATCAAACCTTCCCTTTTTGATGGAATTCCCAATAGTGATATGCTGGTGAGTTCTGCTTTTTGGCCAATTTGTTTTTCCTTGGGGATGTAGTTGGCTAACCACTTTCTTCTTTTTCCACTATATTCTTGTTTTGTTGCGTTTTTTTCTTTCCTTAAAAATACATACCACTCAATCCCTTTGTATTTACATATCTAAGATCTAAACTTTGTTTTTACATCATTTTGACTTTTAAAAAGTGAAATACAATATTTCATGCATAGGTTAGGTGGTATGTGTGTATAAATTGAAGTTTAAGTGTTAGTATATAAGAATTGAGTGCTATGTATATAAATCTTCCAAAATAATATAGGATGGAACTCAAGTTCAGTTCAAGTCAGTGGCGCTGCAGAAGTTTGTGAGCGCTGCTAATGGAGGAGGCTCGAATGTAACTGTAGATCGTGATATTCCTTCTTGGTGGGAAACCTTCAAGGTTTGAGCCCTGAGACTAATTTAAAAAAAAAAAAATGAAGTTTTTCTTCCTGGAGGCTTCTTTTCATCACATTAATCCTGAGTATAGATAATCGCTTGGATTTAATTGGAATTATATTCCAGAATCACATTTTATTGCATTGAATTTCAAAGATTTTTTTTTTTATTTTGCATGTACTCAATTACTGCAAATTCAAATTTTTATTATAATTATGTGCAATAGTAAAGTTTTGACCCTTCTCTTATCAACTGTATAATATGCCGTCACTATTCTATACTAGCGAAACTGAGGTGATTTTCAAGCTTAAATAATGGAACTCACTACACTAATCACCTTTAAGAAGATGAATTTTACGTGTAGGAAGTCACATTTATTCACTTTCTACCAACCAAATGCTCGGACTTGATTTCAAATTTGACTTCCAATTAATTCAAATACTTATATCAGAACAAACTAAAATGTTGTTTCTTTGTTTGAATTTTGTTTTGTATGAACAAATGCATAAAGGTTGATTATGATTTTGCTAGAGTGACATGGCTTTGTTATAAAATATTGATTATTTTGCTTTGACGTTAATTCGCAATGAATGAAATTTTAGTGCAAGCCTTTTGCAGAAAACCCTATGCTCTAAATGTTACTTTATTAGAATTATAAGGTTGCTAGCTATTCAAATATACATGAGAACCTTGTTTATAATTTTTCAAT